TGCACAGTACTAAGTTTTTTCGGTGAGTGATAAACTCTGGGCTTGTCGGCAGATAGCATATGAGAACTATCTCTAAATGACAAGTGCTATGCTGCTGTAAGTGATAAACTCTAAGCTTGTCGGCAAGTAGCGTATGAGAACTACCTCTAAACAACAAATGCGGTTCTTCTTATGCTCTTTTCCCACATCTTACTTTTTTCTTGCAGTACATTACTGTTTTTTAGTTAAAAAGTTTTTGGAAAAATATGGTCCAGATGATCATCAGAAAGAGTTCGTATTTTAGAATCTTCTACTAGTTACCTAGTTGACAAATCACTAATAAATGTACAACTAGTATAGCTTTAGTGATCCCAGTGGCCTGGTTGGTAAATCCTCTTGTCTAAAGATTTTTATTATTTGAGTTTTTCAAATTTTCTAATCTGGTTTATTCTTTTCTGTAGCATTATCGAAAGTTTGCTAATCTTTGCTTAAAATTTGCCAAGCTAGTGTCATGGGTTAATCAATGACTTTTGTCAAAGAAAAACCTAACCCAGATGGTAGGCACTTTTAATTAGAGACCAAGCGAACCAACTTAAACAAGGCAAGTGTTTACTATATGTACTATTACTTATTTAATTTAAAGGGTTTATTTATTAATTACAAGCGAAACTTATCTAAGTTAACTCATCTTTCTTATTACATTCGCTTCGATCCTTATATACATACTCTGACCTAATCGCTACATCATAATTGATCATACGACCATTGTCTCTTTAATTGATTATATACTTTATTCGATTGTTCATGCTTAACTTACTAATAAACTATTTTGTACCACTTATTAATTCATCCATGATATATTAATTATCTTACTTCAGCATCTCAACTATATTATCGACCACCCATAATTCTGATCAATCATCACGTGAATCACGTGTACAAGACACTAGATGATTGATCGCTCTTACCCTTATTTTCAAACATGTTCTCCGCATACTATATGTCACCATTATACAAGCTAAAGCCCCAGGAACTTCGTCCCTGAAGTTTCCAACTTATTTAACATCTTCCTCAACATTATTCACACAAAAGAATCTATCATATTAATTATTTCTTGTAAGTATTTTAATGTTTTTCTACGATCATATACACTTCTCATCGGTATATCGTTCTCTACATCACCTATATGTCCCATTAATGGCTATTCGATCGATCTACTTTCAACACTCATTACATCAAAATCAATTATCATTGCTCTACCATCTAAGCTATTTCCTCTTATCTCATTCATATTAGCAACCTTTTGATGATATATAGATGCCTTATTCTCATCTGTTTCAATTCTATTTCCGCTTTCATAGCAAAATCCACCTTTGCGTATTCCATCAGCATGATCTATCTTTGCTAATTTTTGATAATGTACAAATATCTTATATTCATCCTTTTCAATGTCATTTCTGCTTCCATTGTAGTATCCAGCTTGCTCTATATTTATTGACTTTTGATGATCAGCAAAGTTGTCATTTTCATCAAGCTTGACCTTCCTCATCATTCTGAACCTAAGATCTGCAACTTCACTAAACTCTACAGGCATGTTATTTATTTTTGTTTTCCCTTTCTGATCCAACTCATCCTGGCCACAATGTCAAATACTAACTACCTTTTCAACATTATTTTTATCACCAATTCTTCGAAGCATATTACCATCTGATTCCCAAATTATTTCATTCTTACCTTCATCATTCTTTACCGATTCCTCTGCAACACACCTAAAGTCGATTAAATCATTTCCAATAAATGTATCAAATATGCTTTCAGGTTCCCTTTCATTCATCTGATCAGATTCATCAAAATCTATTAGGTCATCAACTTTACAACAGACGAATTTCTTATGTTCATCCTTTTCATCACCAGTCATTTCATCCCATTCACAATAACCAACATTATATGTCCCATTATCACACCAGATATCCGCAAATTCACTGTTACCATTCTTCATATCCGACAACAACTGGTCAACTTCAGCTTCCAAGTCATCCAATCCTCAATCATCCACCTCACCAATCGACTCATTACTTTCAATATCGTTTTTTTCGGCATTTTCCTTCTCTAATCCAACTTGACTAGTATCGCCATTCCTAATATTATCCCAAAATATGTTGATTAAACTTATACCATGCCTTGGTACATCAGGCTTCGGATCTTCTTTGAATGCTTTGCTTTCATTATTACTGACATTTTTGCTAATCACATCTCCACCTATTTCCATCTTTTGTTCCATCAACCCATCACTTTTGTCCACATCTTTAATACTCGAACCTTCCTCTTCCTCCACGTTCATATAAATAAACATTAGGTTCATCTTGTGGATTCTTGATACTAATTCATTGCAAGATGGCTAGTAATTTATCCAGGTTCTCGTGTCATGGGTTAATCAATGACTTTCGTCAAAGAAAAACCTAACCCGGATAGTAGGCACTTTTAATTAGAGACCAAGCGAACCAACTTAAACAAGGCAAGTGTTTACTATATGTACTATTACTTATTTAATTTAAGGGGTTTATTTATTAATTACAAGTAAAACTTATCTAAGTTAACTCATCTTTCTTATTACATTCGCTTCGATCCTTATATACATACTCTGACCTAATCATTACATCATAATTGATCATATGACCATTGTCTCTTTAATTGATTACATACTTTATTCGATTGTTTATGCATAACTTACTAATAAACTATTTCGTACTACTTATTAATGCGTGATTGATTCATCCATGATATATTAATTATCTTATTTCAGCATCTCAACCATATTACCAACCGCCCATAATTCCGATCGATTATCACGTAAATCACATGTACAAGACACTAGATAATCGATCGCTCTTACCCTTATTTTCAAACATGTTTTCTGCATACTGTATGTCACCATGACACTAGTTTCAGATCTTTCAGATTACTCTGTATAGGTTTTTAATATAGATTGTTTCTAGAAGACATTCTAGGTTTGCACTACCTATACTGGTTTGTATTTCTTTGTACAATAACATGAATACTTCCAGAATCTTCTAGCACCCAAAGGTGTTGGTGTAGTTTGAGTTTACAAATATATAACCCAATCTAATTTAGAAGATCTGTTATCATAATACAAATATTTTTATTCAAGATATTGCTAGCAGGATCCGAACTTGGTATTATAGTCAAGCTAGCTTGAGGTGTGACAACTCTACTACTTTACTACATCACTACACCTACTAAATTATATAATTATTTTTGTAATAGTATATATATATATATTTAAATTTTAAATATATAGTCTTTGTCTTAAAAATCACCTTCTAATATTTCTAATTAGCTAATTTAGACCAAAACATAGCCATGTATTTGGTTCATACTTATATATAAACTCTTTTATCTTTATAGTTCAATAGTTTATAAAATAAAGTTATAAATTAATAAAGATATACATGAACTAATATACAAATTTGTTTTTATCCAAATTAGCCTAATGAGAATAATTTTCAAAGCAAAGACCCAGATATTTTTTAATATTTAATAATCTTTAGTTTAAAGTTATAGTTTTTAATCTCAAGTAGTTTAAATTAATTCTTTAAAGTTGATTAATTCTTTATTATATTCTTTAAGTCAAATAATTAATATACTTTTACAATTTTTTAAAATAAAAAAATTTTACTAAATAAAGATTTTTTATTCTAATAGTAATTAAATAATATTAGCTTGTAGATCTCAAGATATCTAAAATTAAAAAAATATAAGAATCTATAAATTAACTATTATACAAAATATTGTATAATAATAAATTTGTAAATTTTATATTCTTTTCTTTGATTCCAAGTATTTTGAAATCCACTAAGCTATTTTTAATGATTTAACTATTAGAACTAAAAAATCTTTACTTAGTAAAGCTTTTTAATTTTTAAAAAATTATTTTAATTAATTATATTATTGTATAAAATGTATTAGTTATTTGACTTAAAAAATATAGTAAAGAATTAATTAACTTTAAAAAAAGATTAGCTTCAAATTACTTGATATTAAAACTTAAATTTTAAACTAAAAAAAATATTTAAATTTTAAAAAAGTTAAGTGTATATTTGCAAAAATTAAATTTAAATAATTTTTTTGCAATTTATATATTAAATTGAGGTAAATCAACTCATTTGATTTATGAGTACTATATTTACTCAAAATAATGCATATAAGCATTATTTTAAAAATTGTATTTTCTTAAAATAGCATAGTTGGTTTTGAAATAATGCCCATGTGTATCTCAAAATAATGTGTACTTTATATACTAATGTTTGTAATTAAGTATTTGGAAGTCAGTATTTATCTATATTTAAACCTTTATCTTGAAATAATGCCCATGTATGTTCTTGAAATAATATGCATTTTCTTGAAATAACACACAGATGCATGTTATTTCAAGTAAATACAGTAATAGCACTTATTAGAACATGTTCTGTAACTGTTATATAAAAGTTTAAAAATCACTAATAAAGAATAAATATATACTATAAGCATATTACAAAATGTTAAATATATATTTATTTTTCAAATATTTACTATAAAAAAGTAGATTTTTTTATAAAATATTATACTTTTAAAACAATATTAACTTTTATTTATTTAGCTTAGTATTAATCTAATTCAAATTTAAAAATATATAGTTAACCTTCAAAAACCAATATGAAATTTTGTATTAGTATTGAGAGATTATTAAATTTGAAAAAATTATAAGCTATCAGATCTATATACAGAAATGTACTTATTAAACTAATTTTTTGTTAGATTTGACAGAAAAATATGCTTTGATCATAGTGTAACCAAAACGTTTGGTTAGACGAAATGTTGAGTGGATTTTGGGTTTTTTAAAAGAACTGTACTTTTTGATTCTTTATTTAAAAGCTAAGTATTTTCTAGGCACGGAAGATGCCTTTTACATCAGTCTTTTCTGTAGGTTTTTTATACATGTTATATTTTACTAACACTTAACCTTTTTGACATTTTACTGACTCGGGTTATGCATAACGATCTTATGCATAATGATTTATGCATAACGATCATTATGCATAACAAATTATGTGTAATGAATATTATGCATTCTGATTTATGCACTTCGGCAAAGCTATATGAATAGTTAACCTAACGATGTAAATAATGACTTCTAATGCGTATAAAAATAACCTTAGCTAATAATAATAAGGCCAGAAATGCTATTAATAAAGATAAATATACACTAGAAAAAAAAAGTTATCTATACTAGAATAAAGTAAGGCGGCTAGTTATGTATCCTTGTTACGGATCGGTTACGTGACTGTCACGTAACCCACGTGATTGCTGTGATGTTGTAACCTTGAGATAGAATTTATTTTACACTTCTCTTCTCTTTAAGTCATGAGGTCCTCTGAGTGTAATGTTTAAGATTTATCTATCGTTATCGCTATGTTAGATCTCTTCTTTTTTTTTTTTTTTTTTTTATATATATATAATAGATTTCCAAGTAGGACAGTTATAGTATCTTTTTAATCGATTCGTATTTACCAAATTTTTAAGGATCCTTCCTTCGGTCGTCCGCAACTTATACGTTCCTGGAGCACCATAATCGTGAATAAAGTAGGGTTTTTTCTATTTTTCTCTTAGTTTATCGCCATATACTTTTTCCTTAGCTGACTCATATAGTAGAACTTGATCACCGATTTTAAACTTAACAGGCCTAACGTCTCAATCATAGTATTTTTTTGCTTCTGTTGAGCTTCTTGGATATTATCCTGGGCTTGAAGCCTCTGTTGGTGTAATTGTTTTGTAATTTTATTAATGTGTAGCTCTAGCGATTGTTCTAAGGGCGTTTCTAATATGTCCTCTTGTTTCAGTTGTAGATCTATTGAGAGGATAGCGGGGCGTCCGTACATAAGGTAAAACAGATCATACTTTGTAGTATGATTTGGAAGGATATGGTAAGCGAATAGGGCAGCAGAAAGTAGAGTGTCCCAAGTGGTTTTATAATCACTAACCAGTTTCGCTAGGGTGGAACAAAGAGTTTTATTAAATCTTTCTGTGAGGCCATTCGTCTGAGGGTGGTAAGCAGCAGCTAGACGATGGTGGGTGGTCATGATCTCACATAGGGCGTCTACGATTTTATTACAAAAGGAATGTCCTTGGTCAGACAGAAGGGTTTTCAGGCAACTATAGCAGCATATAATATCTTTGTAAATGAAGCGGGCTATAGTAGGTGCTGTCATATCTGGTATAGGGCGAGCTTTGGACCACTTCGTTAAGTATTCTGTGGCCACGATGATGTAACGGTTGCCTGTCTCAGTGATATCTTTAAAGGAGCCTACTATATCTATGCCCACTCTATCGAATGGAGCTCCTACGGGAAGGGGTGTAACTCTTCATGTGGCTTTGGGGCACCCTGCCGCTGACATATATCGCAAGTTTGGACGTATTCACTAATAATCTTGTACATTCGGGGCCAAAATACTTAGTTCTGGCCCTGTTGTAAGTTGACTCTATCCCAAAGTGTCCAGCTATTTGGTCTAAATGGAGCCCATATAACACCTGTTTTAACTTATTCTGTTTAATTACTTGTAGTGAAGGTTCATTCTGTTGTTTATTCTTTCTGTAGAGGAGGTCATTCTTTATTAAATAATGGGCGACCTGTTTCTTGAATCTCTTCTATTGAGCTATGTCTATATTTTCAGGGATTTCTGTAGTCTCAAGGTATATTCTTAGTTGTTGATAATATTGTAAATTCATCTTAAAAAAGAAACAAAGTTTATGTCTTAAAAAAAAAAAAAAATTTTTTTATTTTTTATTTTTTTTAAAAAAAAATATTTAGCTTATTTTAGGCGCCAGGACACCAGTAACCTGGGCTGGATTTGGTCTGGATTTTTAATCTAAAACTTAAGTCGTGCTTGATTTTTCTCTCTTTTTTTTTTTTTTTTTTTTTACAACACTTATTAATTTTCTTCAATTTTTTTTCCCCATGGAGGCTTGTGAGAAATTCTGGATAAGGCGTCCACGTTAGTATGAGTCGAACCTTTTCGATATTGGATGGTACAAGGGTATTCTGTGGTGATCATGATCCATCTTGCAAGTCTACCTGTAGGTTGTGGGTTATTTAACAGCCATTTAAGAGCTTGGTGGTCAGTTACTAATTCCAATCCTTTACCGTAGATGTATGAACAAAAATACTGCATGGCCCATATGGCGGCCAAGCATTCGATTTTAGTGGCTGAATAATTTTTTTGGGGGTTATTTAGTCCCCTGCTTGCATATGCCACCACATATTCTCCCTTGTAGTTATCTTTTTGTGCTAGTATGGCATCTAGGCCAATATACGAGGCATCGGTGTATAAGATAAAAGGTTTACTGAAGTCAGGGTGGTGCAGGATAGGTGCGGTTGTCAATCTTTGTTTAAGTCTTTCAAAGGCTTCTTGGCACTGATCATTCCATTCAAGAGGGATATTTTTTTTTAATAGAATATTAAGTGGTTGTATTATTTTAGCAAAATTTTCTACGAACTTTCTGTAATACAAAGCCAGTCCGATAAAGCCCCGTAATTTGGTAAGGTTAGTTGGTACTAGAAAGTTCTGAACCTTTTTTATTTTGTTAGGGTCGGGAGCAATTCCTTCCCTGTTTAATAAGTGTCCCAGGAATGATAGCTGTTTTTTAAAGAGATGGCATTTATTTTTACTAAGGTGTAGCCCGGTGCTTTTTAGTAAGTCAAAGACTTGTTGTAGGTGATGTAAATGTTCGTTGAATGTAGTTGAGTAAATGTTTATGTCATCAAGGTAAACTAATATGAATTTTCTATTTACAGAATATAAAACCTTATTCATAAGCCTCTGAAAGGTCGCAGGAGCGTTAGTTAGGCCAAAAGGCATAACTAAGAATTCGTACAATCCATTTTTGGTAATGAAAGCAGTCTTTTCGCAGTCTCGCAGGTTTATCTCTATCTGCCAATAACTGCTGGCTAAGTTTAAGGTCGAGAACCACTTAGACTAATGTAACGAACTCAAAATATCATCGATGGGTGGCAATGGGTAGGAGTCCTTCATGGTTAAAGAATTTATTTTACAATAATCCACACAAAAGCAGGTCTTGCTATTTTTCTTCTTTACTAGTACTACAGGGAACTCCATGGGCTTGTTGATTCTTGGATGATCCTATGTTCTAATATTTGGTCAACCTCTTGCCTAATAAAGTTATTTTCTGTGTGTGAAACTCGGTACGGTCTTTGTTTTACAGGTTCAGCCCCTTTTTTCAACAAAATACTATGCATTTTGATTTTTGTTTTTCCTAACTGTGTCAATCCTTCTGCAAATAGATCTTTATTAGTTTCCAGCATTTCTTCAACTTGAGTCTGTTGTTCCTTCTCCAGCTCAACATTTTTATTTGTATTCTCTGTTATATCTAATTATTTATTCAGGTCATCAACCAAGCACTCCAACGTCTCCATCCCGGCTAATATTTCTTGACACTTGTAGCAACTATCCTCCATGTGATTCAACTGCTCTTCACACCAGCACACCGCATCAGGACCTTCCCATCTGCGTTTTAAGTGTCTTAAACCATCATTTTCTTTTTTTCTTAGCTGTTTATAGTATTCTATCAGTGTTTTTTTTCCTTCAATACTTACATAACCTTTATTTATTTCTACAATAGGTAATTCGTCTTCATCTCCCTGTACAATGTAGCTTCTTTCCTCTTCTGCTATATCAGATTCATACTCTTCATCTGATTCTTTATCTTTACCTTCACTTTATCGATCCGATGTATACTTCCTTTCTATTGGCATTGGCATTCTCTGATCGTACATCATTCTTTTCCAACAGGTAATAATCGTTCTATACGTATTTTCATGCTATTCATATTCTAAAAGTCCATCCTTTAAATTAATTTTTTCTTTTACCTTAGCTAGCCAATCCGTCCCTACAATTATGGTATAATCACGTACTTCTGTTATCTCCACATCTATAGGTATTTCCACTCCATCTATTCGAATCGATAAGTTTTTTACAACCCCTAATGGGTGTCTTCTTTGCCCATGCACATCTACTAAATTCCTTGTTGATGGCTTATCAATGTCTCTTCTAATTTTTCTTAGGAATTCCTGGGAAACTAGACTCTTGCTAGATCCCGTATCTAGAATTAGGTAAATGGAGTACTAATCTACAGCAGCCTCACAGTAAGTTACTTCTGTTGGTTGAAGGGAAACGTCCTGCATTTCCATAGTACTATTTAACACTAAAGGTGATTGTAATTTGCTTGGTACTTGTTGGTTCATTAAACTAGAATTGTTTACTGAGAGGTCTACTAAGTTCTTATTTTTGGCATTCTTACCCTTGTAAGAAGTGGCTGAGACTAGTTTAAATGCTCTTGGATAGCATTGGAGATGGCTTCTATGAGGTCTTCGGCGGATATAGCTAAGTAAGTTTGATTTCCATTGTTTTCGTTTTGAATGGTGTTGCCTCTGTTTGGGGGGCCACTATTATTTTGATTAGCAGCATTATGGTCTTGGGTTGGTCCAGCCCGGTTTTGATTATTCCCTGTGTTTCTATTTTCTTGATGGAACTGTTGATTATATTCTGCTCCACGGCTATTATTGGAACTGGAGTCTCATTTGTCCCATGTGGGACATACTTTGAAAATATGACCCTTTCTTCTGCAGTTATAACATGTAATGTTAGAATTGGATGGGCGGGCTTGATTAAAGTTAGGTCAGGACATATTAACTGTTTGGCCCATGGCTAAGTGTTCATTTTTATTTTTGCTTTGCGCCATTTCAGCGATAGCTCTTTTTAACTCACCTATTTCGTCACTTACTGGATTTTCTTTACTTAGATAACTCCTTGTTAAAGAATAGGAACTTAAGGGACCTCCTCTGGAGTACACAGCCTCTGCTGCTTTTGCTTTTTTTTTGGCCTGCTGCATTGTTGTAGGGCATTCCATTTCTATGGGTTCTCTGAGTTCTTGTCTCAGTTCATCTATGAACTGTTGAATATAGTCCACCTGCGGGTACCGTTGCATTGGGTCGGCTTTTCAGTAAAGTTTTTTGAGAGCATCGTAATACTTATTGACCGTTTTACCCAATCCTTGCTGTCTTGACCGCAGTTCTGACACCCATCGGTTTTGCTGGTGCATGGTGCAGAATTGTTGTTGAAATAAGTGGGTAAACGAGTGTTGGGGCTGAGTATTGTTGTTTCAGGCCCAAATGTTATGTGCTTTGGTCTTTCACCACGTATAAGCTATTCTTTTTAAGTGAGAGGGTAGAATATCGAACCTTCTTTGCTCTGACATATTGTTGGCAATACAAGTCTCATCAAATTCGTCCAACTATGTAAGTGGGTCCTGATCACCACTACTAAAGATTGGGAACTTGACTACTTTAGCCTCCTGGGGTTGGTTGGTGGTATTTCCCATGGTTAATATGAGGTTATTCATACTTTGCAATAATTGATCTATTGGGTTTGCTGCTGCAGCTCCGTGAGCTAGTTGAGGCTGGGGTTGAAGTGGTTGAACAGGTGGTGGGTTTTGTTATGGGGGCACGTTCAGTAGTTAGTTAGGGCGTGGAGGTTGTTGAGGTCTATTCACTGGCTGTCTTGAGATAGTGGGTTTGAGTAGGAGTAGGAGGAAGTCTTTGTAGTAGTGGACTGTTAATCTCATAATGAATATGAGAACTTTGTAGAAAATTATTGTCTTCCGGCCAAGTTCCAGGTTCTAATGGGTCCACAATAGAGTCATTTATGATTTGAGGTCTTTGATATCCGTGAGTATAGGTTCTTTCTGCCCTTTGATGCAGGTAGCGATCTTCATATTCTCCCTGATAATTGGTATTTCCATATAGGTTGTCAACCACCACATCATGAAGGGGTAGAAGTGGGACAGAGTCTTCTGGATCATAGACACTAGGTGCTCATTAAAATCAAAATTGGTATCATCTTGTTCTAATTGGTAAGGATTTGGTAAAGAATAAATGTAGCAGATTTGGTGATCTTCTAGTACTTCTGTCAACACCTTTGGCTCTTCCAAGCTTATGAGGTCATTTTCATTCCTTTTTCTTTTTTGTTTTTCTGATCTAGAATCAGAATACACTAAATGTTCTTGTCTTCTTGTAGCTACCACCGCTGAAGTTTCAGATCGTGGACTAGTTGACATTTTTATAATCGGCGATTTTGGTTTGCTCAAATTTTCTGACGAAGTAAATAAAATCTCAGAATAGGTCTAAGCGTTAATTTCGTTAAAATCGGGTTTTGGAAAAATGTGTAGTTGTGGATAACTCATAAACAGATTAGAAATTCTTCTTTATAGGCAACCCGGTCCTGTCATCGTCACCAAGTGTAACCAAAATGTTTGGTTAGATGAAATGTCAAGTAGATTTTGGGTTTTTTAGAAAAACTGTACTTTATGATTCTTTATTTAAAAGCTAAGTATTTTCTAGGCACGGAAGATGCCTTTTATATTAGTCTTTTCTGTGGGTTTTTTATACATGTTATCTTTTACTAACACTTAACCTTTTTGACATTTTACTGACCCGGGTTATGCATAATGATCTTATGTATAATGATTTATGCATAATGATCATTATGCATAACGATTATGCGTAATGAATGTTATGCATCCTGATTTATGCACTTTGGCAAAGCTATACGAATAGTTAACCTAACGATGTAAATAATGACTTTTAATGTGTATAAAAATAACCTTAGCTAATAATAATGCTATTAATAAAGATAAATATACACTAGAAATGAAAAGTTATCTATGCTAGAATAAAGTAAGGCGGCTGGTTATGCGGATCAGTTACGTGACTGTCACGTGACCCATGTTATTGTCGTGACATCGTAACTTTGAGTTAGAATTTATTTTACAATAGGATTAGGATAAAATTTATATTAGTATAGTGTTTTTATATATTTACATGAACCCTATATATTTGTTCTTAAATGTTCCAAACAGAGCTTATTTTATACTGTTTTATTACGATATTTGTACAGAATATTATATAGTAAATTTTTAAAATTGTATAACATCCAATAAACATTCCATAAATGTTTGTAATATAGTCAATTTTCAATAAATAAATAAATAAATAAAATTTGAAAAGATTTCAAGTGATTTTTTTTTAAAAGAGGATTTCACCCTTATACATAGTGGTAAGAGAGCTAAAAATCAGTTGGTCAATACTTCTTAGCAATCAGGTTACCAACCAACAAAACTTGGGTTCAGAAATCAAAAAAAGCATGTTAGATTTGGATGAGTAGTTAATAAGAGAATATATAGTTGGTAGGTTATATATATGTATATTTGACTTAGGTACTTTATTATTTAGTAAATCAGGTGTTATCTTTCTTAAGGACCAAAAGGCCTTTATTTTATAATAACAATTTTATCTAGAAAATCTATCTATTTTACCAGAAATGTTAATAATCTTTAAAAAGCTCTTATTGACAGAATCGCTATTGATTCCAGATTCACCATTTCTGCTATTTTTTTCATTTCTCCTATCTCTATCATTTCTGTAATTTCTGGCAGAAATGAATTATCTGAGATTTCTGGCTGAGAAGCCTAAATGGAAATAACCAGGATCATGAGAGTACATGTCTGTAATCAGATTACGTTTTTGGTTTTATATTTCTTTCTTACTTGCTTTATATCTCCAGGTTTAAAATTGAATGCTATATAGGCAGAGGTCAGCAGAGGCTTTGTAAGTTTATTTCTTTTGGCAGGGCCATTATATTAGTAAGCAATAGGTGGTTTTACACTTTATTGTTTTAATTATAGTTATTTTTCTAATAAACATTACTGACTATGAGTTTTTCTTATTATTAGGTCTGGAAGTATATAATATTTTTCAGTTTATGGGCTGTTTGTTACATTTAATTCTTGGGTCCATTCTTTAGATATTGTGGGGATTGAATCAGTTGTTCTTGATCTTCTTTTGGAACTTCTGTATTGTTAGAATTAATTATCTTTTTTAAATTCTTCAGCCTTCTTTATCCAGGCTTCACAAGTGAAATTTAAAATACTTTGTTCGTATTTTTTGGGTTCCTTCTAGAGCTGCAAACATTTAGAGATCCAAGGTAGTACGTCACTCCTTATGTCATATAAAATTTATATATAAACATAGTAAATGTCACGTCACATACGTCACGTCAAATGTCATAGTAAATGTTAATTGATATTCTAATGTCTGCAGCTCTAGTTCCTTCAGTTCTTTGCTTTTAGATTTCTCAGTTAACCTTTTTAATTCTTTGACTTTCTTTTTTTAAACTTCACAGACACATTCTAAGTTAGTATTGGTGTCGAGTCCTTCATTATTTTTGACACCAATTTCATTTAGGTGGCTCTTCATCAATGTGGTTCATCTTTGTGAACTCAGTTTGGTCCATTTCAGTAGGTCTTTGGTGTATTTCATATTTGTCTATTTCAATTTCAATTTTAGTAGATCTTTCATAATCTTTGAATGCTTGTATTCATCTTTTTTGATTTGGATTTCTTCAGTAAGAGGGACATCATTTACTATATCAGCTAGGTCTTTATAATACTCAAATGTCTTGTGTTTTTTCTTTTTACATTCATTTCTTGAAATTTCTTTCCCATAACCATCATTAAGAAGTGACTTTCTATTGCCAACTCAATCTTGCTGTTTCTTCTTCTCACACAGTACTTATTTATATACCAGCATCAGGCTTATTTATGTGGCTTATGGGTTTTTCAAAATCAACTTTTAACTTGTCAGCAATGGGTCTTCTTTTTAATAGGTTTGTCAGGAGGTTGTGGTGCAGTTTGTTAGTCTCTTCAGCCAAATTTTCCCACTAGTACATCGGCTTTGATGCTTGGAACTTGGTATATTGGTCTAAGCAAGTACAAATTTTTTTATAGCACTGGTTCATTAGTACCTTTGCTAATTCAACTTCTTTTTTTCTTGTATTTCATGGTTCACCACCAAAATAAGAGGCTGAAAATCAGTCAGTCAACACTTCTCGGTAATCGGGTCACTGACCAACAAAACTCAGGTTCAGAAATCAAAAGAGGCATGTTAGATTTGGACAAGTAGTTAATAAAGGAATGCATATAGTTGGTAGGTTATATATGTGTATATTATTTGACTTAGGTACTTTATTATTTAGTAAATTGGGTGTTATCTTTCCCAAGAGCCAAAAGGCCTTTATTTTATAATAACAATTTTGTCTAAAAAATCTACTTATTCTACTAGAAACGTTAATAATCCCTAAAATGCCCTTATTGACAGAAGCACCATTAATTACGGATTCGCCATTTCTGCTATTTTCTTCATTTCTCCCATTTCTGTCATTTCTGGCAGAAATGGATTTCTGGCCAGGAAGCCCAAATTTGGAAATAACCGGGATTACGGGAGCACGTGCCTGCGGTCAGGTCACATTTCCGGTCTCACAGTGGATTTAAAGAAAAAACTCAAATAATTAATTAGCTTTTAAACCAAAAAATTACTAAATTATAAAAACTAACTAATTATAATACAGTATATAAATATATTAATACCAAAACCAACCTATTTTGTAAAGATTCTCATACTATAAAATGCTCCAAACTTCAATATATCGTCATACTTCCCTAAATACAACTCCCTAAATGCATAGTTTACAAAAACCTATTAAATACACGGTTCTATTTGGTTTCAACTTATATGATAATTATAGATTTTTATCCTCTTTAATATAATATCTCTCTCGGCTATGCATAAGAGAGAGTTGACTGCATTTTAATTAATTAAAATTTTGTAATTTTTTTAAAAAAACAAGTTAAAACTTTACCTCTAATTAACATATTCTATAAAACTAACTTTTAAATGCATTCAACAAATTTAGATGTGTATAACTTTAAATTTCATCTCTTTAGAATAAACAGATAAATAGTAAAACATATACAAAAATTTATTGATAAGAATGGATGGAGCCACATGATACGTTGTCAGACCCGAAACCGGTAAATCCAAATTTGGAATTTCCGAGTCACGAAGGCACGTGCCTGCCGTCAGGTCACGTTTCCGGTCTCACAACGTGTTTAAATTAAGGGCTTCAAATGTGGATGTTACGACGCATTTGTAGAATCTAGTTAGAATTCACGTCTCAAACTAACGAATTTAAGCACGTCTTTAATAATAACTCGAAAGTTTTTGTTTTTCGGGCACAGCACTCTTAAAACATAGCGATATGGCCAAGTACAGTGCTATGTTTTAATAATATTGTATCCAGCACTTGCAAAACTTTGGTTATATTTTACCTAACGTTTTGAGTTTCTGATGTGAATTACACGAATGGCTTAAATTATAGCAAATCAGATTTCACATTCAACCATTAAATCTCAAATTATTTGTAGAGTACTTGAATCACAATTCCATCATCTATTCAAAGAAATCATTTTCATTTTTTGCAAAGGTTTTAATTTAGTTACATATTCAAATATTTATATGGTATTGATTTGAATTTATTTCTTTACACTCATTAATTTTCTGTCATCATGATATAGAGCATATGAATAGACAAGTATAAAATTGGTTTACTGACATTACCGATAACCACTTCCTCGACAATTATTTTCCCAACAATTATAACTATTTGCCCGACAACCATTTCTCGTCATGACCATTTCCCGACAAATGTCGGTAAACCATATATTTTATTGCTTATGCAGACACCAACGTCTATATGTCATAATATGATATTCTTAATTATTAAAATTACGTTTTGTCAAAGAATGATTACCTTTTTCCATATTCATAAAAAATTTACAGTAAATTATAAGTTAAAGACTAATAAATATGTTTAAATTTTACTCTACATTTAGTATAATGTATAAAAAGACAAACAAGAATAAATACATGATATTTAAATAAATTTACTTGGTTTTTTCTGCCTTAATTTTTTCCAAAAATTGAATAGCTTTAGGCTGATTTTTCAAAGCTGCCAATTTAATATATTGCTCTGCTTTTACTTTATCAACTGTAACCCCAAGCTTTCCACTCCAATAAATGTCACCCAAGTTAAAAAGTGCAGTAGAATTTTCAGAATTTGCTGCCATAACCATATACTTCATTACTTCCTGTACATCCATATTATTTTTATCTTCAAGAAGAGCAAATGCATATCGAAGTTGAGCATCAGGCACACCATTATCAGCTGCTTCTTTGAAAAGCTTAAGTGCAGCTGCATGATCCTTTTTTACACCCGTTCCATTCAATAAATAATATCCTTGCCAATATTTTGCCATATTATTTCCAAATTTTGCATTACTCTCAAAACATTTCCAAGCCGTTACATAGTCCTTTGCTTTGTGTGCTTTAATGCCTTCTTCAAAAGGTATTAAAGGTTGTATAATAGGTACTTCTAAATCGAAACAATCATCAGGTACTTCAAATTGTTTATTAGGTTGCTGAGGATCAGTGCTAATGCAAATTTTTTCTTGGAAATTGCTTGGAAGCTCTAAATTTGGGACGTCATTAGAATTAACTTTTTTGGGTTGTATATGAGGGGAAACACCTTTATAAAATACATGTTCCTGAAAAAGGTCTTTAAGTGCATGTTGCATTTCCATGTCCGAAGGACGTGCTGAAGGTTCATCATCCCAAGCTTGATGAAAAAAAAATTTTTTTATGTGAATTTTAATGCATAGTTAAGTGGAAGACTTAAGCAAATGTAAAGTTGCAGGAATAAATATGTTTACCCCTGATAATGAGTTTATAAAGCTCTTTTGAAATTGGTGATGGGCAAAGAGTATTTTCAAAAACTTCTCGTTTTTTATTCAAAACACATTCTTGTATTTCACCTACATCCATGCCATCATAAGGAAACTTTTGATGACAAAGCTCCCAAAGCATCATTCCAAAACTATGCTCGAAAATGCAATAAGTTAATAAATTTATATAAAACGTTGTTAATTCTAAGGATTTGTTGGAAATTCATTACCTGTACATTTCACATTGATGATTATATCTTTGTGTACCACCTTTTGGAGATTTTCGCATCTTTTCAGGTGCCAACCATCGAATAATATCAGATAATATTTTAATTTCCGAAGATACTGCTCCTGTTATAGTGCGAGTGAGTTCGAAATTTGAAATTTTAGGCTCAAATCTATCAGTGACCTATTTTTTACAAAAAAATAGTCAATTGATACTAAGATATCAATTATTATGAAAGTTAAAAATTTTAATCGATTAATCAGTCAACTGAAACTATCAGTCACAAATTGACTAAAAAATCAAATCGACAATTTAATCGATTAGTCGACTAACAGACTAACGATTCTTGTCTCTGAATTAAATACATACCAAGATATTCTCACAACGAACGTCATGATGATAAAGATTACATTGATGCATGAATACTAGACCGTAAAATATATCACGTGCAAATCGCAATTTTGTAGGCCAATCAATATCATAATTTAAATACATTTCACGTAGATTACTATATGCAGCCCAATCGTAAATCATGACGTCATTATTATTTACATGCGAAACCCCATAAAAGTTGATAATGAACGGGCAGACACCTAATTTGAGAAGTGCAGCTAATTCCATTTGCAGTTTTTTATCACTTGCTTGACCGAAATTTCTTGTCAGTCCGTCAAGGTTTTTAACAAATTTTTTACACGCAACCTCTATTCCACGGTAAATTTTTTTACAGATAGTTTTATTAGCTCCACGAACATTATCGGTAGAAGAAAATGGATCTTGTAATTCATTTGGATCTACACTGGGAGCTTTGTACTCATCGATCAGAGGTACCATTTTATCCGCGGGAGCATTTGCGTTTGATATCAACGTAGTAACTTCCGTTATCGCTAACCTAATTTCAGCCTTAATTTCATCTTTCATGTCATCCATTGACTATAATTTATTGAAATTTATTGCGGTTCATGCATGATTAGTAAAAAAAAAGGATTTGTATAATAAATATAAATTATATAAAGTAATTCAAATTTACAATAACACTAATACCTTTTTCAAAATTTCAAGATCTTCTGCTACATTTTTTGCCTCCTGTTCTCTTTGTTCATTATTGTACATAGCCATAGTAAAGTTTAAATCTCTACAGACTTCTTCAAATTCTTTAATATTTTTTTCAAAAGCCTCTTTAACAACGTTAGCATTTACAACCTTTTGAATATATGACAATTGCGTAACTTCTTTAGTAAATTTCCTAATATTCTCCAAAACATTAACAAATCTAACCCAAGCATGATAATAATCTTGTTTCCTAAAATTTTTTTCATTTGCCTGATATTTACGTTGTAATGATTTGACGGCAGTTTGTGCAATTTCAACACGATCTAATAAAGCAGCACATATTTTTTCATTACATTTTGCATTATCATAGATTTGTAACATTTGAGTAAGTATGCTCGTAACCATGTTGAATAGGGGAACGAATGGAGTAATTGCATCTCCTACAGTTTGGACGGCACCGGCTGTCTGACTAGCCACATCAGTTAACCCTCCAGGCCTGTCATAACTTCCTCGTAGATTGGGAGTATAATCAGAGTGTTTTTGGTGTGCCATCACTAATTAAATCTAAGCGTTGAGTTATATTAGTGGTAAAAAAAAAAAAACTTTTTTTCTTAAAAAAGTAGTGTGAACAACTCTAGGACGTCCGTACGCATATTTATATTGCTTACAGTCTACATTTAGTTATGAAAGACATAATATAACCGGTTTTATCGATCTGCGACAGCTTGTGATTTTATTTGTTATTCGTTTGACAAAGTACTAGCGTTAGTACGTACGTAGGAATTTTAGAACCGATACACCGATGCATAAAAAGGTAACGCATCATTTTAAGAAGCACAGAACTTCTTCAATAAGCTCTTTTTTTTTCATAAAGTCGAAATATGCAATCTTTTTATCAATTTGCGAAGAATGCTGCTGAAACTAAGAAATTTAAATAAATTTTCTAATATAACTTGTACCCATTTAGGGAACAACCTATTCGATGTAACACTGTTATTTTTCGGTTCTCTTATTTGCTTAGATTTATATTTCGTATTACTATTTTTATATTTAGTATTCCATATTACTTATTTAGCTTGTGTATCAGCACTGAACACATGTATCCCTTATATAGTATTTTTTATAGCCGTATTGTTTGTTATGCAAAATTAATACACGAATATGACGTCATAGTAATGACGTAGAGTAATCTTTAAATTACCTATAAATCGAATTAATGGTTTAGAAAGTGTCACGGCTGATACTGTACTGAAATTCTAACCTATTTTTATATAAAAATTTGAAATTTTGGGGTGTTTTTTCCTGCTTTTTTATTTTAGGGTATGGTTAGTGTTTATGGTAAGATTTGATATTTAAAGAATATAGGTAGATTTTAGCAGAGCTTACGTTTTTAAATCGAGTCTCCAAATTTCTGCATCAGTCGCGACATATATTTATTTAAAGTTTACTACCCTAACCCAAACTCGACATAGTATTGTCGATACCTTTACCACTCAATTCGTAATTATAATGACATGAGTTACTCTGCACCTTGTGGGTCAACTTAAGAAAGGATCTATTTTTGTTTGCCTAAAAATTTTAGGAATTTTTTTTTTTTGCTATTTAACGAAGTTTCATGCAATTGCAAATCTAAAGCCCAGAGTGATGTTCACACAATACAATTATTTGGCTAGAGTCAAATATATCGTTTTATTAATTTTATATAACATTCCGGTGTAACAGGATCAAATTCTGGATATTCACCTTGACAAATCCTTATCACGAGACTATTATTAAACGATCATTAAAAGCTCTCCTATCAACTTATTGTGTGAATTTTCTAGCTTATAAATTACGATGTTTAAGATCATGAGAATGAATAATGAATAATTTCTTGATCAAATGCTGGGGAGGATTTGAAGATCGAGGAACCCAGTGATATCTTCATGATAATCACATCACATGATTAAGTGTTAGGGTTAGTGTTAGGGTTAGGCTAATTTGTTTAGTGCTAGTAAGCAAATGACGTAATTGCATGATTTCCCGTGACGTGATGATCAAGTGTCCCAAATGCTGTACACTGTAATAATTTTAACTTTTTCCATTTCATACTAGATACTTTTGAAGATTTTGTTGTAAAGACCCATTTCTAATATGTTTTAAGCTAAAATATAATTTTTAGTACATTCAACTTTGATATTTCAATATCACAATACGATTTTAGCTTTGTTGTTGAGGGTAGTTTTTCATTTTGCATAACCTGGTGTTCCAAATTTCTAGTCGGCTGGTCCGGTTCTTTTTTTTTTACTGTAAATTAATAGATTCATGTTCATATTTAGGGCCATGTAAAGTTAATTTTTGTTTGCATAACATGGAATCAGGAGTTTTTGTTTCTTTTTTTTATCGGAACTATCGGGCAATTCCGGAAATTAAGGTCACCTCCGGGTGACACCGGATAAATTTATGGAAAAAAAAATTAAATAGCAAAAATGGAATAATAGCATGATAGAAATTTGTTTTAATTGGTTAAGGGTTTGTGATCTACGTGTAGATGATACACAAACATGAAGTGCTTTAGATCCAATAAAAATAACGAATCTATATCACATGCGTTATAGTGAAGTGATCTAAGCTGTACTATATCGAGAGCCTATTACAGTCGACCCTCTCAAAACCGATCGTGTTAAAACCGATAACTTGTCAAAACCGATAAAATATTAGTCTACCAAGTCTTATAATTCTAATGGTTTGCTATGTTTTCAAATCCGATAATCTCTCAAAACTGATACAAAACCTGAGAGGGTTGACTGTAGTAAATTTTAAGTAAATTCACTATATCGGGAGGGTTTTTATATAAACTGTTCTTTTCTATATGGTATATAATATGTAAATATTGAATAACCGATTGTAATTATTAGGTATAGCGTGTGCCCTAATGCGTAAATTGCGCAAATAAAAGTTTAATTAAGCTGATCTAAAATATAACACGTTTCACACAATTCTCAGTAAGACAATAGTCTCGTACCATCTAATTTACGCAGGGGCTTTTTTACTAACATGCAGAGCAACGCGAAAGTTGTCTATTCTATAATATTAAATTAAAGTAACGCATTTAAATGTTTATTTGAAAATTCTATAATAAGTAATGATCTGTAATAAAGTTTACATATTTTTAATAAATTAAAAAACTCGTTTTTTAAACTGATAATTAAATTTTATAATTACACATTATGACTAAAAAGAACCTCGGCCCTTGCTCAGTTCGTGATTGCCAAATAAATCCAAAGCAATTTCGTGAATCACTGACTATGCACTTAAAAAAGCAAAAGATAAAGGCACATTTAATCAATATAATTATTTAGAAGTTGGAATGCAATTATGCTATTCTTATTACCTTGAGA